TGGGAAGGGCTGGCGAAGAGCCGCGGCCCCGCTCCCGGCCCCGGCCCCGGCGCGGCGCTGCCTTCCCCCGGGCTGACCCGCGGCCCGCCGGGGCCTCCGCGCTTCGCTGCCTGCACTCCCCAGGCAGCGTCGCAGCGAAGCGGCCTCCTGGCAGGAGGCCTGTATGTGCCGGGACAGAGCCGCAGGGCCGGGCGGGGTGCGCGGCGAGGCACCGCGGCCGCGGCAGGCCTGTCTCCGTGGGCGCCGGGGCCCGGCGCAGGGGCAGGGGCAGAGCCTCGGGCAGAGCCTCGCCCCGTCCCGTCCCTCTGCCCGGGGTTCTGCAGGCCGGGCGGGCGTGCCGGGGAGGAGACGTCAAACGTTTCTCGTGGTAGAAAAGTATCTCGGAGGGTTACGTGTCTGTTTTCTGAACGCTCGTTGTTGCCATCAGGTAGAAGTTCAAGCAGGTTTAGCCAGGTTGTTTCTAACGACTACGAAATGAAATACAAACAGAATGTAATACTGATGTGAAACTTGTTGTTTTATTAGTACGGCAACTTCATAGATGATTTACGGCTCTATGTGAGAGGAGGAACTGGTGGAATGGGTTATCCTCGTCTAGGTGGGGAGGGAGGGCGAGGTGGTGATGTCTGGTTCGTTGCCCAAGAAAGAACTACCTTAAAGACCATAAAGGACAGATATCCCCAGAAGAGATTTCTAGCTGGAACAGGAGCCAACAGCAGGTATGAATCTGTTCAATGAAAGTTGTTGTATACATCTTCTCCAGAAAGCTAAATGTCAGGTTAAGTTACTAAGCCTGGTTTAATTTCTCCCAGTGTTAAAGCACTAAAAGGTGAAAAAGGAAAAGATTGTGAAGTGCACGTGCCTGTGGGAATTTCAGTTCTTTGTGATGATGGCAAGCAGATTGGTAAGACCTTTTGCTTTGGTTTAATGTACATAGTAGATACTGTCGTATTTCTTGATAGCATCTAGCAGACTTCTAACACTAGGATGTTTTGAGGTTACATGTCTCCCAAAATATGTGTGTGTTTTCCTTTGCTGGGACAAAGAGTTGACAAAAAATACACTGCAGAAATTGTTGGAAAAGCAGGCACCCTTTCCAGAATTGAGCAGTAGTCAGTTTGTGTCGCTATATGCAGCAGAAAGAAAACTGCTCTTGCGAACAAGTGCTAAAGGGTGGAAGCCATACTGATCCTCCACAGAATCATTAATGACCTTTACATAAATTATGTGTCCATAAACTCAGGTAAGTGTCCCTATAACTTTACTGAATTATGACACTACTTAAAAGATGAAGATCCTTGCTGAGTGTCAACATTTCTGGTTATCTAAAATACTTATCTGTTTTTTACTCTGTTTTTAAAGAGTGGTACTTGGTAGTAACCAGGAAGATCGCTTTCGATACAGTGCTCTTGGAATAGCTCTCAATGGTTCCTTTGCAGTTTCTCAGAGTTTTTCTTCTCACACTGTTCAGAGTTCAAACTAAATTCACAAATGACTCTGATTTGGATGTCTAACAAAATTGGATGTATGGCAAGGACTGTTAATGAGGTAGGCATGTCAGTGTCTAAAGGTATCCTTGAATTATATATTGAAATGTTGCATTTTTATTTTTTTTTAATTATTCTAACATTGTAACCCTAAGGGAGATATTTTAGCCTGCATCTGAATGAAAAAATACGGAACGTCTGAAGAATTTGCTGTAGTCCCATCTCTATCAATGCAAATTTTTCCTTGCATTCTTGAATTCAAGTATTGGAGGCTTCAGAACTACCATTTTGGCCACACTTCGCCTGCCTGTATTTAGCACTTTTCTTGAAGTAACTAACTGTATGACAGAGGAGAATACTGAGGTGTGATTGTGCTCATTTTTTTCTGAAGAAGGAAAAATACCATGACCCTGAGTGCACAGCTCTTGTAAGAAAGCGTACAGAAAATTCTGTTTTCATTGAAGATAGATTTAAGTGGAAAATCACAATTGAACTACTGCAGGGGATTGTGCCTTTTTCACTAGTGAATTTATTTTCAGGAGAGCTTAATGCAGCAGGAGAGAGACTCCTAGCAGCTCGCGGAGGTCTTGGAGGCTCTTTGGCCACAAACTTCATGCCTTGCAAAGGTCAGAGGCGGATTGTTCGTCTTGATTTGAAACTTATAGCAGATGTTGGCTTAGTTGGGTAAGTACTGTAGTTTGAGAACTGACATTAGAAAACAAAGTAGTAAATTTCAAATGGGATTTCAAAGAAATCTGAGAGTTTGGAGGATGAGCGTTCCTGTACATTTGCATTGCCACTTAAATAACTTGTGGTTTGCAAATCAGATAGAGTTTAAACCTATTAAAATTAATTTTAAAATTTGGAAAGTATTGGTTATGCTTTTGAGTGTGAAGAGTTTCATGAATTGGGGTAATATATAAATATTGATATAATTGAATTTAGCAATTGCAGTGATTATCAAAATACTGTTAGCTAATATTTATGAAGTGAGTAGGAGGTGCAAAACAGAGCCAAGAACTCTATCCATATTGCATGTTCAACTTCATGGTACTGGCTCAAGTGGATCCTTTCAGTAGTAGTTTTAAAGAGAGTTTCAAAGGCTACGTAGCCTACTCTCCCAAATAAACAGATTGGAGTGTTGGAAGGAAGGAATTACAAACTGGAACAGCAGGACTTGCATTTCTTTTGCTCTGATGCTTTTCAATGGCGCTGCTTTATAACAATGCAGATAAGTCTATTTTTATTTGGAGAAAGCTTTCAACAAAGTACAATTGTGAAAGTATTGGTCTACTCAGCATCTACTGCCCCCCCCCCCCCCCTGGTCCTTATTAATAAACACCATAGGAAACAAAATGATGAGGGGTTTGAGGTGGAAATAGTCTAATTGGCATATACCATTAAAGAATAGAAACTTGAAGACAGAATGGTTTTCTACCTACATTTTTTTCTTTCTTTACTTATTAGAAATAATTTTGTTAATATCAGATTTATCTAAAGTTATATAATTTTCAAGTGGTCTTCAGTAATTACACGATAGAGAATTTTTTTCTTCTTAAAGTGTGTGAAACTGTAGGAGTTTCATGACACAAGTGCCGCTTTAATCTTGCATTTTGGCTTGTATTTTAGCTGTTTCCCTTTAAAATGGATAAAAAGAATCATCAGTTAATTAGAGGAGCATATTATTTTCTGGTTGAGAATATGAATCAGCCTCTGATAGTTTGTGGTTGTACTTTGATCTCTTTGTGTTTGTTATTTTTACTTCAGTAGATTTGCAAGTGGTTTGCTATTAGGTCGGCTAAAAAACATACAGACTTGAGAAAGGCCCATCAGGTTTGGGTACAGGTTGTGATGTGTAGTGTAGGTTGCAATTTAAACTTCAAAGAGCATAATGTACCTCAGTGGAAACAAAATACTTGAGGAGATGACCAGAGTAACTTTTCAGAATGTCTTTAAGGCACCTTTCAACATCAGAGAGCATTAAAACTACCCTCAGTAGTTTTCCTGTTATAACAAGAGTCATTATGTCTCTTTCTTTTTTTTAAGAAAGCCCTGTATACAACTCCTTCATAAAGCCCCTTAATGTAATACTAGTCTTGGTTTTCATTAGCTCATGTTCTTTTGAGTTGTCCCCGTTAACAGGTCATGTTTCTCCATGTATTCAAGTGGAGAGTATATGTTTTTTTGTGTGACACGTGCCTTTGTATCTTGTGACCAATATTCAGTTGCCCGTAGGCACAGTTTTGTTCGATCACTGTCGCACTGTAACATGCTGAATAACTGTTTGTGAATTTGACTGGAACACAAGTCTGGTGTGGTCTCCCATATGGAGCAGGTGCTATGAATAAGGACTATCGTCTATCATCTGGTGTCAGTATTAGCTTCAAGTTTCACATGAATCAAGACTATTGTGTCTTTTATGGCTCAGATTAGTCTTTAAAATAAGCATGTGTTATAATTTCAGTTTTAACTTAGGTTTCCATTTCAATGGAAATGTGACGAAGCTATTGTAAAAGCTACCATATCCCTTAAGGAACATTTTTGTTGTAGTATTCAGGTTTAGCTATCCCTTCTAAAGGGAAAACATTACAACAGTCAGGTCTGCACAGGCCAGCTCCTAGGGCTTCACTGGTATTCTTTTTGGTTTACTTGGTAACAAAGCAGGTTAGTCCTAATTTCAGGATCCCTCATACAACTTCATTGCCTTAAAAACATACACAAACCGTGCATTTGTGTGTCTATATACGCAAAGTCTCTTTCGCTCTTCCCCTCACATATATATAGGTACGTCCAGTTTACATATGCTTTGCTACATTAGCTAAACCGTAGCATCGATATCATTGGTATTTAAATTGTAGAATGTTTCATTAACCATGATTTGTATACCAAAAGACTGTGAATCCCACTGATAAGATGTGTTTGCATGACAGGTGTTTAGAATGTACATGTAATTTACAAAATCAGCTATAGCATGTGAAGACTGAATTCAAGTAGACATGTATGCTTATGCTGTATTTCTATCCAAGTGACTTTGAAAGATTTCTCTTAAATCTGTTATGCATCTATTTACATACCTCTCCTGCCTGCATCCTTGGGAAGCATTGTTGGATTTAGAAAAATTATTCCTATTTGATTAAAAAAAAATCATAATGATCTGGGTTTTGGTGTGGTTTTTTGCTTTTTTTTTTTTTTTTTTAAAGTCTGAGTAAATGAGTCTGCAGAAATTAGTTGATAGCATTGAGTTTGATTAAGGTAATGTAGTGTATTCAGTAATAAAATATACAGGAATCACGTATGTATTTATTCACTGTATAAATCCTGACTTTCCTTCTAGGTTTCCAAATGCAGGAAAATCATCCTTGTTAAGCAAGATTTCTCATGCCAAACCTGAGATTGCAAATTACGCATGTAAGTTCATACTCTTATTTTTAGATCAGTAATATTTCAAGAGAGCAAGAAGTCTTTTCTCTGTCTTGCTTTACAGGTTTATAATAAAGAATAAGTGATAAGCATGTTGCCTGCTAAATACGTCACACAGATTTTTAATTGTAAGAAATACTTCAAAGAGAGAACTTGCTCTTTCAGTGTGCAGTTCCTTTAACCACCTCAGTTTTTCATGTGTACACCCTCATAGTGCTTCAGCCTGTTGATGCGGGTCTATTTAACATTTATTTCAGTCTCAGCCCATTTTATTGCATCTGAGACACTCCATGGCTGCTCCATGTATAAGAAAATATGCACCATCAAGTTCCTTTGCTTAAACATCTTTATGCTTTGGAAATAGCTACCACCTGTTCTTGCAACAGGGTAAGATTTTGGGTTTGAATCTGTCCATTGAAAAATGCCATTTTTATTAGTTTTCTGTCAGTAAATTAGGATTAGCCATCTGATCATGCTTTAACTAAAAAGCAAGAGCACAGGTACTGATAATTCCTACTGACCTTCTTGCACCACTCCTGATTCTCTACAGCCTTTTTCCATAGTCTGGATAATCCTTTTTGTGTCTGACACTTCTCTAGCTCCTCTATTCCCTTTTTGGGATGACAGGAGCAGAACTGCACACAGTGCCAAGATTTGGTGAACCATTATTTTTTTGAGTAGTCTAATTTTGTTCTCTCTTGTTTTGCTTTTTCTTTATTCCTTTTCCAGTAATTCTTAACATCCCATTTGCCTTATTTTTTTTCTGCTACTGAACATTTGTTTCATTTAAATATGTAGTGAGAAAGTCCTGCAACATTTAAATGTTTTGTAACATTAATATTTTTTTTTAAATGTTAAGAACAGTTTTGTTTTCTTCCCCTGCTCTTTTTTTCCCTTGTCATAGTTACAACAGTACAGCCTGAACTAGGAAAGGTCATGTATGCAGATTATAAGCAGGTGGGTATGAAAGTTCATTCTGCTTGCTCGTTAAAGTTGTATATAATGGTTAGTTACATTGCTTAACATAATTTCAGAAAGAAAAAGGAAATTTGTAGGTTTTTTCATATGTGTATCTATAATGTATACATATAAAATGCAGTTAACTGGACTTAATGAAAGTTGGGGGAAAAGTACTATTTTTATAAAGTCATAAGAGAGCTTTATAGCCAAATGCAGTAACATGTTGTTGAGCTGATAGCAAATCGCTTTAATAAATGGCTTCTCATTTTCCTTGTCTCCTTTCTGTGGTTCTAATCCTGCTTTCTAATCTTGGAGTTGTGAGCTTCTGTGTGGAATTGAGATTGCTGTGTCCTAGTATACTCTTGTTAAGTTTAGAACTTTTAAAAAAATCATTATTTCAGAGACTAACCTGTTATTTTTATTTAGAAGAGGCAAATTTTCTGCAAGTCAGCTATACAGAGAGCTTCGGAATGAATGAGTCATTTTCAGAATGGATTTTAAACAGGGGCAAATTTGTCCAATAGCTGCAGATCTGCAGTAGCAAATAACAGGGAATTTAGTGAATATAACCCAGTTACCATAACTTACTGTTTTGGCTTTCTAGGTTGGATGCTCTGACTTCCTTTTGTGGTTTGTTTTTGTGGTGTTTGTTTTGGGAGGTTTTTTTTAACAAAAAACTTGCATAGTATGAAGTGATAGTGATTGCCTGAACAGCCAGGATAGTGCACTGAGAGGTGGGATACCTGGGTCCAGTTCCTTTTGTGGTAGGCTGTAGCTGTGGAGAACTGGTAGAGCTACTGCCCTACCACCTTAATTTTTGTGAACCCAATTCCATCCAGCTTCTTCAGGTAAAGTTGTCAGATGATTGCGTGGTGCCTGGAATCCTTTCTACAGTATCTACTGGGGGGAAAACCAATGCTAAATGAGGCTCTTACTAACAGATTTTGGACCCCAAGTTCATGTAAGGATAGAGCAAACATTTTGATTCTCAAGCTTGAATCTTCTTTTATGTGCTTTTATTTGGTTTCTAAGTGTATGATACATGCAGTACTAGACTCATCACTTCGAAGATAAAAGGCAAATGCATAAAAGGGTTTCAGATGAGTTAACCGGAGAAGCATACCTCTCAGATGTGAGAAGACAGAAAACTCGTCTTCTCACTTTCAGACGCAATAATCTTGGGGGGATTCAGTAGCCGATGCTTGAAACCTTCATTTAACAACCTTTAACAAAACTGCGTATTAAAGGAAGTAAGTCTAGTTTGTCAGGTTCCCTGCAGAGATGCACACATCTAAGGGAAATTTTTTTTGTATATTCATTTTATCTGCTAGTTTAGAGTAACTTATCCTAGAAAACTCTGCTGCAAATAACAGGATTGTTTATAGCCTTTTAAAAAAACTACCTGCCTGCCATAAATCAGGACCTCTTGCTCTTACTGGCATATCTTTCTCCAGCAGAAGAACTACCTGCATTCCTGGCTTTCTTTTCTGCAGACTGTTTCATGTCATAGCCAATGACCCTTATTGTTTGCTGTTTCTGCAGTTCATAGTTTTTACACTACAGTGTTGGGTGCTATATAGGAACTATATGGACAAAATGTCTCTTTTCTAAAACCAAGGGAACTAGTGATTGTGATCACCGTGAGCATGTGTGAGTAACAGGAAGTACTTCATCTCTCAGTATTGCAACTGCTAAAAACAAAACAATGAAAGCAATTAAGAGCAGTAATTGAGGTGACTGTCCTGTATCACTCAAGGGAGACTGGCTCATTATCTTTTTTTTTTTCCTTACAGAACATTAATGTTTTTAAGGAAATACATAACAATTTGCTTATTTTATTTTAGTACATTATAAAGAAGAAAATACATACAAGTTACCTGGTGCCATCTGTCATTACTACTTGGAAAAGACAAGACATGGAAGTAGAGGATCTGAGTATGAATCTGGCATCAGGTCTTAGTACCAGATCATGGAAACTAGCAGAAGCATTTACATTTTCTACCAGAATATCTGAACCAAGTGCTGTTTTCAGAGAGTATGAGTTTCTTTGAGCTCCTTAAAAAGTATTCTTTGAAAGAGAACTAAAGTTGGGGGAAAAGGTGGTGATGATGGTACTACAGCACCCAAACACATCACACCAGGAAGTGGATGTTTCTGTTCTAACTCTAGTTCCTCTCTCCCTGTTTCAGTTCCTCGCTCCCTGTTTCTGGTTACAAGCCTATGGTTTATCCATCTGTATCTCATGTGTCTATAGACAGACAATTCTGAAGCAAGGCTTCAGATATTTAGGAAATGCATAATAGTTTAAAGGGTGACACGTGTGTGGGAGTGTAACTCACTCATAGCAGAAAGACCCTTTCTGCAACAGGTAGCACACTGGAAATTTTATTGTGTGCTGGCTTTCAGCATGATTTAATTGCTGTCTATCTAATTGCATCTAGTTGCTGTCTAAATGGGTATTAGATTTGAAGACCCTAATTTTGCTCTTCTTTGCTTCACTATCTGTCTTAGGTTTCTGTGAGCTACTGAGTAAATATTTGCAGGTTTTAGTATTCTGCTTTTTTTCGGTCTGCCTTGGCTCTCCTTTACAACAGTGTACGGCCCTCTCAACCAGCAGAGGAAATAACAAGATTCCTCTCCATTGTGGCAGTCTTTGCTGGGCTCTGGTTGGAAGCTGATATACTAATCAAAATCTCATTTCAGTTGACGAGCGGAAGAGAAATTCTTGGAGCTTCTCACACTCAGGGGAACAATGTTAAATGAGTTTGCATTTGGAATGGTGATCCTCTGTAGCCATAAGGAACAGATTTTATTTTCTTTTCCAGCGACAGTTTGAATTCTGTGCAAACATGATAGCCTAATCTTCTTGCCTTTCAGAATCTGTTTTATTCTCAGGTAATAGGTAAATTTTGCAAGATCTCTGCCGAGGTATTATTACCCTCTATTTTCTACTTTGCAGACAGCTATAAATAAACAGATGGGGGAACATGAGGAGCACAATGTCTGTGCATTTTGTTTAAATCTGCTTCTGATAATAGATTCTAAATGTATAGAAACAGCCAATGCATACTGCTGGAGAACTGATCCCACGCACAATTCCAACAAATACATATAGTTGTAAAAGTCTCTCAAAACAGAAACTCCTGGCATTCCTTTGTCTGGGTGTCCTGGTTTTGGCTGGGATAGAGTTAATTTTCTTCTTATTAGCTGGTACAGTGCTGTGTTTTGAATTTAGTGTGAGAATAATGTTGATAACACATTGATTTCAGTTTCCCATGCTCTGCCAGCAAGCAGGTGTACAAGAAGCTGGGAGGGAGCATGGCCAGGACAGCTGACCTGAACTAGCCAAAGGGATATTCCATACCATAGAACGTCATGCTCAGTATATAAAAGGGGGGAGTTGGCTGGGAGGGGCAGATCACTGCTCAGGCATCGATCAGTGGATGGTGAGCCATAGCATTGTACATCACTTGTCTTTTTTTGGGTGGTTTTGTGGGTTTTTTTTTTTCCTTTTTTTTGTTATATTCCTTTTCATTACTATTATTACTTATATTTTATTATTGTTGTTATTATTATATTTTATTTTGCTGTAGTTATTAAACTGTTCTTATCTCAACCCATTAGTTTTACTTTTTCTTTTTTTTCCAATTCTCTCCCCCATCCCACTGGGAGTGGGGAAGAGTGAGCAAGCGGCTGCGTGGTATTTAGTTGTTGGCTGGAGTTAAACCATGACACTGGGTTCTTTTGTTTATATAAAATGATAATAGGTGTTTAAAATGACCATTTTTGCTTATCGGAAATCTTTTGTTTGAAACTTTTGTTTTCCTAGATTTCAGTAGCTGATCTCCCAGGACTGATTGAAGGCGCACATGCAAACAAAGGGATGGGCCACAAATTTCTCAAACATGTAGAAAGAACCAAACAGCTTCTCTTAGTTGTAAGTTAAATAACATTTATAGCTTATTGAAATCAATGGCAGTGCAGTAAATAAAATACATCTTAATTGCAGGGTAGTTGGAATTTAGGAAATTGTTTGTAATTTGTATGATTTATGATAAATATAGCTGTAATACTGTTTTCAGAACAGAACGCTCAAATGACTGATGATAAATTAAATCCTTAAATAGAATTTATCGTTAAAATTTGCCAGTTAACTTAGAGCAGTGAAGTGTTCCAAGCATAATTAAAGCATGGGGTGATTATTTTTTTCTTTCTTTTTTTCTGAGAGATCCCCTTAAAAAAGAGGTTTAAAAATCAGACCTTTGAGAAACACTGTATCAGAACCAACCAGTTTGTGCTTCCAGTGTCTATTGTGTTACTTTGGTGTACAGTTGCCCTCTGTTACTTGGCCAGGAATCAGGGCACTTACATGGACATTTTACTGCAAAGTAGTTGCTGGAGAATACCTTGATACTGTAACATAATTTAATGCCATAAAGCTTGTTTTTGTGTAACTTTTTCAGGTTGATATTTCTGGGTTTCAGCTGTCTATTAAGACTCGGTTCAGAACAGCCTTTGAAACTATATTGCTTCTAACAAAGGTAACTTCTCGCCTTCATAATTGACAGTTGTAGCTACGTGTTAAGCCAAGAAAGAGGCTCAGTTTTGATGAAGAACTTTCAAATGTTAGTATGTCTTCTGGATTTATAAGGCCGGTTAACAAGCTTAGGATTCTTCGAAATGATTAAATCTTTATTTTTAACTGTCCAGGAGAAACTGCTTTATTTTATGTTGGGCACAACTGTTCCTTCAGTAATCTGTGCAGCATATGGGATATTTCTTACAGTCAAGCAAAGGTGAAAAGACACATCATTTTCAGTTCCCCAGTCTTGTAGTCTTTTAGGAAGTAGAAATGGGTATAGTTAAACCCTTGCCTTGATGCCCTTACTGCAATAGCCTAAAGGAGATGAGACATCAGGGTCCAGCTGTGCAGACACTCAGTGTTTCCATCTCTTACCATTGCTTCTGATTAAAATAATACATTTTATGTAATTACAAGTTTAGCAGCTGTTCTTTCTCTAGCTGTACAACTGAAGATGATGAATCTTCTGAATTTCAGCTATTGCTGTTTATTTTTAGCTGATTCATGGTTGTGATTTTATTTCTGATACTGACCATAGTCAATGCTTAAGAATCAGAAAACTCTCCAAAGAATTTTCTTGTATGTTTTATAGATCTGAACTTTTTCTGAAATTGATTTTGTGTCTGTGGATATCAGAAAAACAAAACCAAAACTGTCATTCTTTTTATAGGAGGCTGTTTCAGAATTGGCCAGTCTGTTTACCTGAAATATCTGTGTTTGAGTAAAAAATCACTGAACATTATTTTCTTCCATCAGACGGCTTTAATACATCAACCTTGAGCACCTGAGTAAATCTCACAGCTGCCTAGGCATTAAAGACTATTTAAGCAATTAAACAAATGAGAGAGGAGATGTAATACGAAGTAGCACTTGTTAAACTACAAATACTAAGGCAAATTTACTTGTCTTTTAAGGAACTGGAGCTGTACAAAGAGGAACTTCTAACAAAGCCTGCACTTCTTGCCATTAATAAAATGGATTTGCCTTGTGCAAAAGATAGCTTGAGTGAACTTATGAAACAGCTACAGAATCCTCAAGGTAAATTAACTTTCAACAATTAGCTTTGACAAAAGTAGTAATAAGATTTCATCAGGGGTAACTCTGCATTGGCAAGGAGTTGTTTGAAACTGAAGTCAGCTATTAAATTTATTATTTGAACATATGTTTTAAAACCACTTCCTGCATTTAGAGCTCTGTTTATATGCATATGTAGTGCTGGCTTCACTGCTGGGGAAGTATTTTAATAAAATACAGAGATCCTAGATCCTTCCCAACTGTGATAAGGGAGAGTAAATTTCCAGTCTAGGTATCTCGGATAATGGTAACCTCCATCGAAGGTCCCCTTACAGACACAGATGTATATACAATTTATCATGTGACTTGGGCCAAAACACATGAAAATTCTGGACAGGCCTGTGTAGGTTTACTTCAATTTTGCTATTGCATTGGGGTGAATTTCCTCCTATTTCCTGGAGAGTATAAGAAACAGGAAGGCTTAAAAATATCTATCTCCCATATTCTGTAGCTTGGGATTTCTTTGTACTCATCTTAAAGGAAGAGTATAGAATCTTCTCATAAGAGTGCAGGCATGGTATAACTGCTATGTTAGTGCTTGTCTTCTGAGACTTTAGCTATAAAGATTAATTAGGCAAATAATACTTGGATATTAATTGCAGTTATGTTTATTACTGTAATTTATTAAAGTTTGTTTTCTAAATTTAATGGGATTTTATGGGCTTTGTAGTGATACAATATTTGGGGAGTGAACTAACTCTTTCAGTATGATTTTTCAGACTTCTTACACTTACTACAGGAAGAAATGATTCCTGCAAACACACTTGAATTCAAAGATATAATTCCTATATCTACATATACTGGAGAAGGAATCGAGGAACTAAAAGCATGTATAAGAAAATCTATAGATGAGGAAGCAGAGCAGGAGAATGAAGAATATCGGAAAAAGAAACTACTACTTTTACAAACTTCAGAAGAAGGACAAGTGAATAGAAGCTAGCATTCTTGGCTGGATCCAACGCATTTTAGTATTTTTAGTATGTACATGAACCCATTGCTATGCAGACCTTCCATTTAATTTTTGTTCCCTCTACCACCACTGCCCAGTTCTCTGCTTGCCCCACCATTGTCTCAATTTCTTTTGGCACTTGGGTAGAGCAGAGTGGGGAAAAGAACGGGTTTTTCTGATTGACATTGGCTGCTGACTCAACAGAGTAAAGACCACAGCGTGTGCAACTAAGAGCACTGCTTAACAACTGATGATCCCTGGAATATTTTTTGCCAAGTTAGATGGATGGAAGGAATATAACCTGCACAGGTAGCAAAGGAGCAAGTTCTGCCATGAGCATCAGAAACACCAAGGGAAATTTCTGATGGAGCTATTTTCCAGGGTCTAGCGCTTCTAAGGTGAACCAGTTCTGCTACTTTGACAGGCATCGGATTGTGGGGAGTTTGTTGTTTTTAAAGATTTAAAGGAAAACACAAATAAATGGCAGCAAGGAAGTGACTTGTAGGAGCACAAAAAAGCAAGGCTGATCTGTAATGTTGGGGTTTTGTTGTTTTTTTTTCCACACCTGCTGTTGCCTACTATAGTCCTCTTGATCATATAAATCCTGATTCCAAATTCCCCAACTTAATTTGGGATTCCCTCCTTTTATGGAGTTATGGATATATGTAACTTCTTGGTGAAGAAAATGACGATTGCTTTTCAACAGAGCTATGCATTTTTCAGAATAGTTAGTGTTCCAGTTTTTGTATTACAAGCAGGCATACTTAGATATTTTACTTTTTAAAAAAAATTAGAATTCCTTTATTGTACAGTGTGTTTTCTACTTCAAAACAATTAAACTGGCAGAGGTCCTTGCCAAGCCACTCTCTATCATCTATCAGTGATCCTGGACAACAGGGATGGTCCCAGAGGACTGGAGGCTTGCCAATGTGACTCCCATTTACAAGAAGGGTCGGAGGGAGGATCCGGGGAACTACAGGCCTGTCAACCTGACCTCAGTACCGGGGAAGATTATGGAACAGTTTGTCTTGAGAGCACTCACATGGCAAGTCCAGGATAAGAAGGGGATCAGGCCAGTCAGCACGGGTTTACGAAAGGCAGGTCCTGCTTGACCAACCTGATCTCCTTCTATGACCAGGTGACCCACCTAGTGGATGAGGGAGAGGCTGTGGATGTTATCTTCCTTGACTTCAGCAAGGCCTTTGACACTGTCTCTCATGGCATACTCCTTGAGAAACTGGCGTCTCATGACTTGGACAAGTGTACTCTTTGCTGGGTGAAAAACTGGCTGGCTGGATGAGCCCAGAGGGTTGTGGTGAATGGAGTGAAATCCAGCTGGTGGCGGGTCACAAGTGGTGTTCCCCAGGGCTCGGTGTTGGGCCCTGTTCTGTTTAATATCTTTATCAATGGTTTGGATGAGGGGATCGAGTGCACCCTCAGCAAGTTTGCAGACGACACCAAGTTGGGAAGGAGGGTTGATCTGCTTGAGGGTTAGGAGGCTCTACAGAGGGATCTGGACAGGCTGGATCAATGGGCCAAGGCCAGTTGTATGAGGTTCAACAAGGCCAAGTGCCGGGTCCTGCACTTGGGTCACAGCAACCCCATGCAGCGCTACAGGCTTGCTACAGGCTTGGGGAAGAGTGGCTGGAAAGCTGCCTGGTGGAAAAGGACCTGGGGGTGCTGGTTGACAGCCGGCTGAATATGAGCCAGCAGGGTGCCCAGGTGGCCAAGAAGGCCAACGGCATCCTGGCCTGTATCAGAAATAGTGTGGCCAGCAGGAGCAGGGAGGTGAGTGTTCCCCTGTACTCAGCACTGGTGAGGCCGCACATTGAGTGCTGTGTTCAGTTTTGGGCCCCTCACTACAAGAAAGACACTGAGGTGCTGGAGCGTGTCCAGAGGAGGGCAACCAAGTTGGTGAGGGGCCTGGAGCACAAGTCTTCTGAGGAGTGGCTGGGGGAACTGGGGTTGTTTAGTCTGGAGAAGAGGAGGCTGAGGGGAGACCTTATCGCTCTCTACAGCTACCTGAAGGGGGGTTGTAGTGAGGTGGGTGCTGGTCTCTTCTGTCAGGTGGCTGGAGATAGGACGAGAGGAAATGGCCTCAAGTTGAGGCAAGGGAGATTTAGGTTGGATATTAGGAAAAATTTCTTTACTGAAAGGGTTGTCAGGTATTGGAACAGGCTGCTCAGGGAAGTGGTTGAGTCACAATCCCTGGAGGTATTCAAAAAGCGTGTAGACAAGGCACTTCAGGACATGGTTTAGTGGGCATGGTTGATGGTTGGACTCGATGATCTTGAAGGTCTTTTCCAACCTAAATGATTCTATGATTACAAAGCAAAATAAGACTGAATACATCAAAGGCTTCTCAACTTGATCTTGTTTTGTTTTGTAAGTATACTTTCCAAACCCTGCTTCTCTAAATTTTGTTAAAGCAGTCACTGGGAAGAAATGTATGATTTCTCATAATGCAGTTCTTTTATCATCAGTATTGGTTCTCATTCTGATTTTCTTCTTATTTTATGGTGTTTGGGGTAACGTTTTCACCAAAGCTAAGTATGGGCTGTCAACAGTTTTTGATACTCCATTTATTTCATTGTTGAAAATAACATTTTGTTGTTGTTGTTAGACTTCTTGAACACTGGTGTTAATTTCACATGGGGGGGAGGGGGAGGAGTTTGAAACAAGACCCAGCTTGCCTTCATTTCAGCTGTGTATGGAGAGTTACAGAAACTTCAGCGATGAACGGATAACGCGTCAAGTGCAACACTGAGCCAGTCTTAAGAGCTGTAGCTTGCAGGACTAGCACTGGCCTTTGCACTTCTTGTGGGGTTGACCCAGGCCAGCAGCTGAGCACCCGGACAGCTGCTCGCTCACCAGGACAGGGGAGAACCCAAGGAGAAAACGCAAGGTAACTTGCAGGTTAAGGTTCAATAGGTGGAGGAAGGAAGGAGGAAAAACAGACAGACAGATGCAAAAGCAATCACTCACCACCACCCAGACCAATACCCAGCTGCTCTCCCAGTGAACGGCTGCTTTGGGAAGACCAAACGCCCGGTTTTTACTGCTGACCTGACGGGGCCTGGGGCCGTCTCGGCCCTGACCGGTTCGGCCAGCTGTCCCCGGGCAGCGGCCGAGGCCGGTGCCGCAGGGCCTGTGCCAAGCGTAGCTGCACCTGCACGCAGCAGTGCGGAGCGCGGGGAAACGGGCCCTGCCGAGGCCCGCTAGAGCGAGCGGCCGCCTGGGTCCTTCGGGGCCCGTAGCTACGCGGCTCACCAGAGCCGCCGAGGGTTACAGCGGGTGAGCTTTGTCCGCGGCCTCACGAAGCGCCGGCGAGAGTAACGGCGCCACGGCGCTGACGCGTTGGAGGTCCGTCTTTTAAAGTGCCGGGTTTTGCGGCCGGGGAGCTGCGCGCCAATCGCAGCCCTCCCTGAACACGGGCGGGAC